CATTCTGAGTAGGAAAGGCCAATCTCAAAACTATATATTGTGTGAAATCATCTATATAACATTCTCGAAATAACAGAATTCTAGTGATAGAACAGATCAAAGGTTTCTAGGAGTTAAAGATGAGGAAAGGAGCTGGCTGTGGTGGCTCACGCCTGTAATGCCAAGACTTTGGGAGGCTGAGGCGGGTGGATCACCTGAGGTGAGGGGTTCAAGACCAGCCTGGCCAACACGGTGAAACCCTGTCTCTACTAAAAATACAAAAAGTTAGTCAGGCATGGTGGCAGGCCCCGGTAATCCCAGCTACTCAGGAGGCTGAGGCAGGAGAATCACTTGAACCCAGGAGGCAGAGGTTGCAGTGAGCCAATATCACTCTATTGCACTCAGCCTGGGCAACAAGAGTAAAACTCTGTCTCAAAAAAAAAAAAATTTAAAAAATAGGATGAGGAAAAGAGGAGAGTTGTGAGTATAAAAGGGTAGAAAAAAGGGGGTAATTGTAGTGATGGATTACTTCTGTATCTTAATTCCAGTGGATATATCGATCTACATGTGAAAAAAAGGGTGTACAGCTGTACACTCACATTGTGCCAATGTCAATTTCCTAGTTTCAATGTTGCGTTATAGTTAAATAGGATGAAACCAATGGTGAAAACTGAGGGAAGGACACACTAGACTTCTGTGTACTACGTTTGCAACTTTGTGTAACTCTATAATTATTTCAAAATAAAGTTTTTCTTTAAAAGAGACCTAATAAAATAAAATAAGATGAAATGGATTATAAAAAAAAAGCCTTACAATTCTAATATTACTATATGACTCAAAAAGTAGTTTAGGACCTAGAAAAGAGAAAAAAATCTGATTTTCTATTCTTCTTTTTCTTTTTAAAAAATTTATTTATTCTCTTCTTATTTCTCTTTCTCATTTTCTCTGTATCTTTTGTTTTCCTTCCATTCTCTTGCTTTCTCTTTTTTCTCCTCCAATATTAATCTCTTCCTCAAAATTACAGCTTAAATAGTACATTTATTATTTATTTATAAATAATAATAAAAGGCCTAAGTGATGAAGAAAAACTAGTGATGTTCCCATAAGTCTCTACTGTTACTAGGCTACAGGCCCATTCTGAAAATTTAGCTTACAATTTACACAGCAGGAGACTCATATGCTGTTTTATTAATATGCTAACTTAAGGCTAAAATAAGAGCCAAATAACATCTCAGTGACAACCGCTTTGAGTTGCTTTAGTCTAATGGTGATATACTGGCAACAAAGAACTAAGCTTTGGAATGAGGATGGAAAATGCAGCTTAGCTTTTAGAGATTAGACAGTTTCTATCTTTACAGACTGATTTTTTAAATTATGTTTTGCTTACAATTTGTTCATATAACAATAATAAGATGGTCCTCTATGGTGAGAATTTCTGTATTAGCCTCAATAATATATCTAATACATTTAAGTACTTCTGTTGGAGCTAAATGCTCTTGAGAAATTAGCTACTTTTAAAAAAATTACAATTTTTTTGATTTTCATTTTAATAGCAAAAATAAGTTTGCTCTAGCAGTTCTTGCCAACCCCAATGCATAATGAGAAGTGGGTTGGTTAGGAGATCCTCCAAAGACAGGCAGCCAGGCTCAGGCTGCCATCTGAACTCAGGCCTGAGTAAAGATTCCCTGCTCTTTCCATTCAATGACTGGTTCTTGACAATAGACAGAGGCTGAAATTCAAAGCCCTCAGCACCTTCTCAGTGAGACACCAGTGCTGTAAATAAATCATTTCTTGATCTTTAAATGCCATTTGTACTTCCAAGTAAGAAACATACACCTAAAATTATTAAGAAGGATAAATGGAATTTGTTCAAGCAACAAAAATAAATGGAGCTTTGTTCTTTTATAAAGCAAATTACATACTTCGGAAAAGCTAAAAACACCTTTATTTGGAGAGAATATGAATATCCCTTAAGGAAAAAGAAGTAGCTAATTGTACTAAGAAATTTAATGAGATTATCACATACCTTAATGGTTCTGGAGACACCATGGCCTTTCTTTCTTAACTGTTAGAGAAAGGTGTACATTTGCTAACTTACACAAAGTGGATAATGCACCATAATGGGTTTTTGAAAAGCTACTCTATTAAGTTCTTCCAACACAAAGTGACCAAATAAAATCAAATCACAACAAATCTAGGAAAGTAACTTGTGAATTTAAAGAGAGGCCTAGCCTTCTTGAAAGTGAAATCTAAAATAGATGTGCTAAGAGCTACTTTCAAAATATAAAACCCTAGACCAAGTTTCAAATCCTAGGATGTGTGGAGCAGTCCTTAATGCATGCATGCGTATCTTTTTTTATTATTATTATTTTATTTTGAGATGGAGTCTCACTCTGTCACTCAGGGTGGAGTGCAGTGGCATGATCTCTGCTCACTGCAACCTCCGCCTCCTGGGTTCAAGTGATTCTCCTGCCTCAGCCTCAAGTAGTTGGGATTACAGGCATGTGCCACCACACCTGGCTCATTTTTTCGTATTTTTAGTCGAGACACGGTTTCACTGCATTAGCCAGTATGGTCTTGATCTCCTGACCTCACAATCCACCCACCTCTGCCTCCCAAAGTGCTGGGATCATAGGTGTGACCCTCCGTGGCCAGCCTCATGCATGAGTTTCTTGCTGGTGGCAATATAATACTATTTGATGTGGAACCAAACTAGAGAGCTTGGGGGACACAGAAGATAAACTCATTGTAGAACTGAAACCTGACAGGGACTTCAGTCTTTCTCCTGTCATCTGCTTTCCAGCTCTTCTTACTCAGTTACCCTCGATTCTCTCTGGTCCTCACCCAGTGTTCTTCTGTGTCTGGACCTCTCTCTCTCGTTCTCCCTTTCACACAGATGTGCACACACACAAACACACACCTCACAACCCAGATAGAAAGAGGACCTAACAATGTGGGTAAAATCATGAATAGATAGACACATATCCTAAAAAAAATAGCTGACTTCAAAGACCCATCTCCCTCACCATCACATCCTGAGAGATAATGCCTCTGCATGATACCACTCAATAAATGAAAACCTTCAGGTATAATGAAGTGAAAAGTAAACTGAGTCAGGATTTTCTGTGGCCACGATTTAATGAACATGGAAATGAAGATGTGTCCTCCAGGAAGAAGGAGAGAGAAAAAAAGAGTGTGTCTTTTTGGTTTGGAGTTCTTTGTTTTGTTTTAGAGGTTTTTTTACATTGCCTTTCATTTAGTGTGTGACAGTTCTTTGAAGTGAAAATAAGATATTGTATCTGCTGCACTGATTCCAGCTAGTTTATCAGGACAATTATTATGGGGGGCTGGGAGTAGGACTTCTCTCCTGTCCTTCCGTGAGGAGAAGTCTTCAGGACCATGGAAGCCCTGTCCCACCTCCACTCTTTACTTACTCCTCCCTATGGGGAAAAGGGCTGTGTCTGATTGGTTGGAACTAAGAAATGAATCTGCATAACCTTGGTCCTTTATATGTATTTTTCACTTGGAGATCTGATCTTTCTGTAGGAAGCATGCACCTGCTCTGTTTCTCAATGCCTTGAGTTTTACAAAGGCAGGTACAGAGCAGGGGTGCTGTGATTAAGTCTTGCTACTTCTGAGATTCAGTATTAGTAAGCCACCTAGCCTACAAATAGAAACTGCATTTTCCAACATCAACTTCATTGGTAAGAAAAATAGTATGTTGGCTCCCAACCTACATTACTCTTAAGTCTTATTTTCCTTTTGGTTCAGAATCCAAGTGCACAAGAAGGGTACTATTTATTAGACCCTGTCAAATCTCAACAACCATGCATGGAATGGCAGGGAAACAGCCCTCTGGTCAAATTGAGTTTGGTGTTGATGACTTGGGACCTTGTAGGAGCATGCTACTTGACACCAAGAATTATTCAAGTCAGAAGACAATCAGCATTTTATTTTTGCTTTTCTTGAATAAATATTATAGAAATAAATAGACTGCTATTAATAAAGATTTGTGTGCACTTAATATAATTAAATATTTTTATTGCAATGAAAACAAATTATCCCACCTGGATGGGTTTAAGTCTGAGAAAAATGTCAGTTTTTCCATCAAGTCAGCCTTGCTGGCACCTGCAAGATATGCTTCCTTCTGCCTCGATTCCTAAAACGCTTCTTTCGTATCACTCAAGTTACTCACCACAACAGCATGCTACGGCAGCTGCGAATACATCTTCTCCCCCATTTCCAGTGTTGTTAGCTCCTGCAGCCAGGAACCTTATCTTATTCATGGCTGTGTGCTTCACAGTATCTATTATAGAGGCATGCAATTTGTAGATAGCAAGGAAATGCAATTTTAAAATGTTTAAAAGCAAGCAGATCATAAACCAAAGGGCTTAGAGTTGATGGCAAATAATATCAGGTGCTTTTCCTCTGCCTAGACATTTAATTACATATTTAAAAATAAATGGACATCAAGGGCAGCCTTGAAAAGAAGAAGTTCCTAAGAAGCATCCTTGGGAAGATGAGAAAGGTAGAAAGAGGGAGGAACGGTGACTTTTACCCTGTGTTATCTCATGTTGTTCATTATTTCTCCTAACCTTGATAACCTATATGTCTCAGGCTTTCAGAAGCCTTTAGCATAATGCAGGAATCCACATCCCTACAAAATTCTCTCCTCCCCATCACCATCTACAAAGAGTTGACTTAGCTGAACCTGTACATTTCTATCAATGTAGTTTCCTGCCTAGAAAACCTCTTGAGGTACCTGGCTCAGCCATTCTAGCTGCCTTGATCCTTGACTGAGGCTTCTAACCCCTTTCTCACAGGCTCCTAAAGTTACATTCTCAAGCTGCCAGATGGCCTTGGGATAATGGGTCCTCACAGAGACTGAGGAAACTGCACCACATCACTTGACTTCAAAGAAAGGATATGCTTGTTTATTGTCTCTTACAGAACTTTAAGAAACCGTTTCTTCACCTTCTGCCTGGCCTCTCATCCTTTCTCCTTATCCTTTCTTCCACTAGATACCCTGCAAACCTCTTCCACATTCAGAAGAAACCATCATGAAAATCTATGCTTGGAGATTTCACTTAGACCTCACCTGTGTCCCCAACGCCCTCAAACATGAACTCTTGCCACGCCAGCTATTCATTGCTTCAGACCCTGCCTTATCCTACACATATTGGCTTAAGAAGCAGTGTGCTTGGCCAGGCGCGGTGGCTCACGCCTGTAATCCCAGCACTTTGGGAGGCCAAGGCGGGTGGATCATGAGGTCAAGAGATTGAGACCATCCTGGTCAACATGGTGAAACCCCGTCTCTACTAAAAATACAAAAAAATTAGCTGGGCATGGTGGTACATGCCTGTAATCCCAGCTACTCAGGAGGCTAAGGCAGGAGAATTGCTTGAACCCAGGAGGCGGAGGTTGCCCTGAGCCAAGATCATGCCATTGCACTCCAGCCTGAGCAACAAAAGTGAGACTCCAACTCAAAAAAAAAAAAAAAGGAAAAAGAAGAGGAAGAGGAGGAGGAGGAGGAACAAGAAGAAGAGGAGAAGCAGCGTGGAGTCTCAGAAGTTCCGGAGAAATCATCCACAATTAACCACACAGTTCGTCCAGCTCTGAGCCTGGGGCTGAGACATTTGCCACTTCCTGTCCCATTGGCGCTCCTATAAGCATGTCACTGCCCAGTTTCACAGCTCAGACTCCACTGCAGTGGAGTAGAACTTGACGAGTGAGCGTGAGGGTAGAGACAAGAGCCCTGGGGTGAATGTGAACTCCATGGTCTCTCACTCTAGTTTCAGTTCTGCTGCTATTTCCTCGCGGCCTTGGAAAAGTAAGTAAACTTCCTCCACTTGTTCCTCGGCTTTTCCCATTTATACATAAGGTGTTTAGATCTGGTAATCCCTTTGACGTGCTAAAAGTAAATGACGGCTTATATAATAAAAATACTAAATACTAAGTTTGGGGCCCTGGTTACATCTCATTTGATCATTTCTAATATCATATTCATTCCTTTATAATCCCATGTTTGTTCATGCATTCAAAGCTTGGGTCCCTTTAAGATTACACAATCCAAGAAATGCTAATATCAGAAGTCCTGATCCTATGTTTTTAAAGACAAGAAAATAACTACTCGTTGCACGCTCACGTGCTGTAGAGTAACAAAGCCAGAGGCTGACAATGAACTAAGTGGGACCAATATTTACTATTCCTGGTAGAACAACCAATCCAACGGCGAAAATTCAGTAGCCAAGGAACTGTTTCTGGTTTGGTGTCAGCTATGCTTTTTGCCTTGGCTGAGGAAATATACCAAAGCACTGGGTTTTATCTGACACTCAGAGAACTCAGAACTGGAGTTGGCATTGCAAAGTAGCAAAAATCATTCATCAACTTGAGCTGCAGGAGGCCTATCTATTGTGCAGGCCACACGTGAGAAATTGCACCCCTTCTCTCCGTGAGAAGCTGGACTCAAATTCATTGCATTAATTTTATTGATCTACGGTCTGTGCAAGGTAAAAGTCCTGTGATTGCATGGCTAACCCTGGTAATACTCTATGCTCCTTGACAGGTTTTCTGATAGGTCTAAGAGTTCTTTCCCCCCACAGGCCACACTTAAAGAGCCAACTTGAGCATTTTCATAGGAGCCAGGAATGCAAGAGATCTAAGGAGTTTCCTGTGTTAACTCTCTTTCCCCAGTACAAGGATTCATATATTCTTAAAACTTCTCTAAGCGTCATCCAACTTAGAGGAACATATTTAAGTGGCAAGAAACTCATGATTCTTGAGTCCATCTTTTCCATTTTGGGCTAGCTTCAATGGTTAGAAAGTTCCAAAGAATCATAAGTCCAACTGTCTTCCTACCTTAGGTTACCTTAACTTATAAACTCTTAGCCCAGCTCCTCACATGTAGTACTTGATAAGCCTTAGTTATAGCACAGGTATCATACTGAAACAATTCCCTATAGTATATTAAGACCATGGATGTTGAAGGCAGGCATGCCTAAAGAAAAGGCTAACTTTGGGCAAGGTATTCATTAACCTTTAATTTCCTTATTCATAATGTGTAATGATAACTCCAACCTTACATATATTACCTATTAAATGAGATAATGCAAGTCAAATACTTAGTACAGTTGACTGACAGTAAGCACTCAAAATATTTAGCTATTATTAATATTCCCATCAGTAATTATTTCTGGCAATGTTTTCTTCAATGGAAAAATTATCAGGCACGTACACTGGAGGGAGAAGAATGAAATATGTTGAAATAGATAGCAATAGAAAACCTCTGCCTGATGGCAGAAACTCTTTCTTAGTCCATCTCTCAAGCTCTTGTGCATAACACACTACGTGGTGTAGGCTACCTAAATATTTTTCAAGTTGAACTGAACTAAACTTTCCATTAATGAGGACACACCAAATGTAACATCAAAATATGTTTTCATAGACATTCACATTCTCCTATTAAGCTTTATTTAGAAAATAGCTATGGAAAATGAATCAATTAACTGTTAAATCCTCTTTACATAAATCCATTTTTACCCTTCTGTATTAGTCAGGGTTCTCCAGAGGAACAGGACTAATAGGATAGATGTATATATAAAAGGAAGTTTATTAAGCAGTATTGACTCCCACAATCACAAAGTGAAGTCCCACAATAGGCCATTTGCAAGCCGAGGAGCAAGGAGCTAGTCCAAGTCCCCAAACCTCCAAAGTAGGTAAGCCGACGGTGCAGCCTGTAGTCTGTAGCTGAAGGCCTGAGAGCCCCTGGAACACCACTAGCATAGGTCCAAGAGTCCAAAAGCTGGAGAACTTGGAGTCTGATGTTCGAGGGCAGGAAGCATCCAGCATGGGAGGAAGATGAAGACTGAAAGACAGCCAGTCTAGTCCTTCCACGTTCCTCTGCCTGCTTTTATCCTAGCTGTGCTGGCAACTGATTAGATGACCACCCAGAATGAGGGTGGGTCTGCTTCTCCCAGTCCACTGACACAAATGTTAATCTCCTTGGGCGACATGGTCACAGACACACCCAGAACAGTACTTCAAATCCTTCAATCAAGTTGACACTCAATATTATCTATCACCTTCCTTTATCTTTTCTACATCATTTGAGTTATTGGATCTCCTTTTGCTATTGCTTATGTAGATGGATATCACAATCTAGCATTTCTTTTTTTTTCTGAGATGGAGTCTCACTCTGTCACCCAGGCTGGAGTGTGATGGTGCAATCTCAGCTCACTGCAACCTCCACCTTCTGGGTTCAAGTGATTCTCCTACCTTAGCCTCCTGAGTAGCTGGGACTACAGGCATGTGCCACCATGCCCAGCTAATTTTGTGTTTTTAGTAAAAACGGGGTTTTACCATATTGGTCAGGCTGGTGTCGAACTCCTGACCTTGTGATCAGCCCACCTCAGCCTTCCCAAGTTCTGGGATTACATGCATGAGCCACTGTGCCCAGCCTATAGTCTAACATTTCTATCAGTCAATAATCATAGACTTGGAAGAGGCCTCGAAGATTAAGTTCATCCTATATATTTTACATATATTGAAACTAAGACCTAGTGAGAAGAAGCAACATGTCCAAAGTTACCCAGGTTTTTAATAGTAGAATTAGCACCAGAAGGCCTGGCGCGGCGGCTCATGCCTGTAATCTCAGCACTTTGGGTCATGAGGTCAAGAGATCAAGACCATCCTGGCCAACATGGTGAAACCTCTTCTCTACTAAAAAGACAAAAATTAGCTTGGTATGGTGGTGTGTACCTGTAGTCCCAGCTACTTGGGAGGCTGAGGCAGGAGAATCACTTGAACCCGCGAGGCAGAGGTTACAGGGAGCTGAGATCGTGCCCTTGCACTCCAGCCTGGCAACAGAGCAAGATACTGTCTCAAAAAAAAAAATAAAAAAGAACTAGCACCAGAAAATTATTTCTGACTCCCAAGTTAGAATTCCCTTTGCTCTACCATACTGTTAGCAAATAACGAGACTCACCAGTATACATCATCGTTGGCATTCTGAGCTCTGTTCTGTGAGGGTAATTAGATGTATAGCCTCCCTTTATATTTGTTAGAGGCATTTAGAGATATTGACTGTTCTTTCCCCTCCACCTCCCTCTCTCTGGCTATTTCCAGATTTTCAACTGATTACATTATAAAAATCATATCATTTATATGAATCAAGCTTACTTGGATGTGGGTGACAGAAAGCCAACTCAAACTAATTTACGCAAAGAAAAAGTATTGGGAAAGACTGTGACATGTCTAGTAGTAAAGAAAGTGAAATCGTGAAGGACTTTCTAAAGAAAAGAATGTTGGGATTCATGAATCTTCTCTGTACTGCCATTACTAATGACATCCCATCTCTGTCTCTTTTGTTTTTAGTTTTAAATGAGAGAGAGAGAGAGAAAGAAAGAGAATAGATCACCCCAGCTAAGGTCCAGCATCCAGTTAGCTATGGTGAGAGCTGGAAGTTTACCCACATAGGACAGCTCCACTACAGATCTCACTTTTCTGAGTATCAGGGGCTGTCCCTAAAGGGAATCATTGTGAACAGAGAAGCAACCCCGAAAGATATGTATTATATTTCACTGTATATCTCCCCAAGTAGATTGTGAGTTTCCAGAAGGCAAGGATCTTATACAATATTTTCAGACATTTTCCTTGCCTTCTGTGTAATAAACACCTAATGCACATTTGTAGATTTGAATGGTGTTAGAGCCACTGTTCCTTTTTATCCAGGCTTACTGAACTAAGCTAAGAAAGCTACAGTATGCCACTAATAAGAAAGAGGATTTTGCATTGTTTTTGGTTATTGGGGAAACCTCAAACCTAAGCCAATATTATGTCCTCACTCCAGTGAAAAACATCTAACCACGTTTCCCTCCCCAGTTTCATGTAGAGACAGAGTTCCTCTTTCTCAGGCAGCTTCTCTACTGGAAGTGTCTCTTCCTGACCTCCTGGAGCTTCCCCACAGCTAAGTCTTCAGTGGTTCAAATAGAGCCCTGCTGTGCTCAGGTCATTAGGATTCTTGTCTTTCCTCTTCATATGACAGACATCCAGATAACATATTCTCTTCTCTTGAGGAAAAGCTCCAATTAAATATGCTCATTAAAGCCCTGTGATTCTCCTGCTTCCTTCAAATGCACAACGAAAATGAGTCACGTTATGCTGACCCGAAACCTGGCCAGGGAGTGCCTGCCCAGGCCAGGTGTGGGCTGACTGCCAGGCCCTTGTGAGATGTACTAGGCAGTTTCACTGTCAAATGCCAGATTCTGCTGCTGCCTTCCAGCTGGTTATTGGAGCTGGCAGGCAACCTCATAAAGAACCGTGAACAAAATATCACAGTTTACCCAGAATCAAAAGGATAATAAATGAAGGGGAAAACAAAGCCAAATCTGCCCCATTCTGCCCCTAATTGGTCTGACTTACCCATTCATGGTTCAAGTATAGGCTCTGATGCATTGTGGTAGGAAGGGCACAAGACCGGAAGTCAGGACACCTGAGTCCTGCTACTTTCCCATGGGCCCTGCTACTTTCAGCTTCAAGTACCTCATGTGAAAAGAGAATACCATTAAAATCTTGCAGGTCACAGACTTTATTTTAACGTATGGTCCCAATAAACTTTACTACCACTGATACAACCACCGCTATTAGCTAATATTTATTAGTAAAATATTTATTCTGGGTCAGACACTGTTTTGTGCTTAATAACTATGGATTCATTTATTTGATCTTTATAACAACCCTTTGAAGGAGCCTAGCATTGTTATTTTTCCCATTTTTCAGATGAATAAACTGAGATTTAGAGAGTGAAATAACTTGCTTAAGGTTATAACAGCCAATAAATTACAGAGCTTGATAACCCGTGTTTTTTACAGCTGCAGTAGAACTCCAATAACATCTCAGTTGCCAAAACTGTATAGTGATGCTAA